GTAAACATAAAATCCTCATAATAACATTAATGATTTCACTTATTTCTACCTGACATGCAGTCTTCTCAGGGTCTTGGGTTTTGGGGTGTTTTGTTTTTTATACGTATGAGTCTCATGCCTTCCCAGGAACCTGGTTGAAATCATTAGTCAGAGTGAACCCTAATTGCCCCAGAGACCAGTTGTAGTACTACACTGTCTTGTCAAGGTGCTCAGAGACTACAGACTTCTTCATTCCTTTCTTTTAAAAATTTTTTTTTCTTTTCAAAAAAAAAAAAAAAATTGGGGGGGGCTCCTTTTTTTTGAGACAGGGTCTCCTTGTAGTCCCAGCTGACCTGAACTCACTATGTAGACCAGGCTGGCCTTGAACTCACAACTCACAAGGATCTGCCTGCCTCTGCCTCCCAAGTGCTGGGATTAAAGGCATGCATCACCACCCCCCGTTATTTTTACATTATGTATATGAGTGCACCTGTGTTAAGTGCACCCACGTCATGCAATGCCTACAGAGGTCAGAAGAGGGTACTGGCTCCTCTGGAACTGGAGTTACAGACAGTTGTTAGTTGCCATGTGGGTGCTGGGAACCAAACCCAGGTCCTCTGCAAGAGCAGCCAGTGCTCTTAACCACTGAGCCAACTCTCCAAACCCCATGCTGCTGCTGCTTGATGCAATGGAACCGCCATAGATGTAAAAAAAAATCCAGTTCTACACAACACAATGTGTCCTACTGATTGTAATTCATCTGACTTCAGTCACTTCAGGTAAGACATCCCTCAGAACAATCAGTGACTAATAATTACTATTTTCAAGAAATGTTTTTGGCCAATCTTGTAAGGACAAAGTAGGAAAAAAACATCCAGAGGATTTAAACCTCCTCACTGTTCATAAAAACTACAAGTTGGGACTGGGGTTCAATGACGAAGTGCTTGTCTAACAAGTGAGAGGCTCTGGGTTCATTAGGAGCACCACAAAAAGATAAATATATTAAAAACTACAGACAACTGCCCTGAATGAATTTTGAGAAAAATTGTTTTTGCTTTTTTGTATTTTCAGACAAGATCTCAATGTAACCCAGACTAGCCTTGACTCATGATCCTCCTGCCTCAGTCTCAGTGCTGAGGTTATACCAAACCAGTCTGTCTAGTAAATATTTCTATAAAAAAAATCCTCAAAGTGCTGATAAAGAAAATGCCCAGGGTACAGAAATTGATACATAAGATACCTCAAAAGGTTGGATTTCACAAAACAAGTCAGTCAGTATGTGAGGTGATAGAGTCTATTGAATGCCAGCTGAGGTTCAACACAGCATATTAAGGACATGTACTTCCAAATCAGCTCATGGTTTGAATCCAAGCTGACTGAAGCAAATCACTTAAATTTTGGAGGACCTGTCCCAGTCCATGCTTTGGGAGCATTTCCAACTATCACAAGGGTTTGGGGTGAATTTAAGGCATGCATCAATGACTGCACACAGCGGAACAGTATACTAGTACTCTTCTCTCCCTTTCCTCATGTCCATACACCTCACATATTTACCAAAGGGCTAACCAGAGAGATGATAAGAATTCAAATACCTCATATCAAATAGTAAAGAAAAATATGGTAAACAGCTTATGGGGGAAGTTAAGCTAAGAGGGCCACTGATAAAAACTGCAATAAACTGAGAATTGGAGATTCAAATGAAGAACAGGCTGTGAAGAATACAGAAAGAGGACTTATCCTAGGATTAATATCAAAAAATCTTCTTACTATGATTTCAATACTACTTTGAATATATATACACATTTCCTTAAAAGTATCTATGTTAAGCCAGGCATGGTGTCCCACATCTTTAGTCCCAGCACTAGGGAGGCAAAGGATCTCTGTGAGATCAAGGCCAGCCTGGTCTACATAGTGAGTTCCAAGCCAGCTGGGGCTATAGGGAGGCCCTGTCTCAAAAAGACCAAAAAAAAAAAAAAAAAAAAAAAAACACAAAAACTTCAAAAAAAAAAAAAAAAAAAAAAAAAAAAAAAACTATACTGATAATTCATCAATAAATAAAATCTACTATGTAGGCTTGGAAATAGCCATACTGCTTTTTCTTTTCTTTTCATTTTTATGTGTATGAGTGTATTGCCTTTATGTATGTGAGTGCACCCCTGCCGTGCAATACCACGGAGGTCAGAAGAGGGCTTTGGGCTCCCCTGGAACTGGAGTTAAGGACGGTTCATAGCAGCCATGTAGGTGCTGGGAATCGAATGCTGGTCATCTGCAAGAGCAGTTAATGCTCTCAACTTCTGAGCCATCATCTCTCCAGCCCCCATACTTTTTCTTATAGCATTACTTACTCAAATGAGGCACATAATCCAGATTCACAGTCCCAGCTTGCATGTTCAGTGAACTCCAAAACTCCATCATCCCTTCCTTTTCTTAGACAAGTACTAAGTGTCGATATGGGCCAAATACAGCGCAGAGCACTAGGAATTCAATGGTAGGCAAAGCAGGCCAGATGCCACCATGGAACTTACAATGTCTTCTATTCCTTAAAGAACAGGAATCATCTACCAGAATTACTAAAATCTAAAATAAAACTTTTTGTACTAAGTTAAACAAGAGAATTCATGTTCTTAAACAATATATACATTTGCTATTTCTAAAGATCTTTTTCCAATTACCTATTTTAGCTGTGAGTTCTAAGCCCTACATTTTAAGCAGGACATTTGACAGGCAACACATAATAAAAAATAAAAATCTGAAGACAATATTAAAAAAATAAAATAATAAATAAATAAATAAAGAAGACAAGATTTTGGCCCAGGGAAGACAGCTCTGAAGACATGGCAACTATCCCCATGTTCTAAAGAGCCAGTACACAAATTTGTTCTGTATGGTTCCAAAGAGTTAAATCTGGCAGTTAATTGAGGATGTGGGTTTGTTTCAATATGAAGTCTTCTAACAATTCAAACTACTCAACAATTCAATTATCTTAGATTTCCATAGGGCTGGAAACTTCACAAAACATAAATTTTCATTTACACCTTGAAATAATAAAAATGTTAAGTATTTCCTATTACAGCATTTCCCATTACAGTTTAGGCAATTAAGTTTTCAACAATCCTGCTAAGAAACTGGACAAATCACATAAGGCCCGGGTTTGCTCGCCAGCATCACATAACAAGAAAGAAACTGAGCAAACAGTACTGGAACTCAACTCCAAAAATGTAATAGAGCAGGCTGTCTATAATGTCCTTTCCCCCCAACCCCACCCACACCCCCACCCCACCCCTGTTTGTACTCAAGCATACACCAAACTGCCAGTATCAAGAATATTGGTGGATATATTAGCTTCTTCCAATCCTTTATAAATACTGCTGGTCAATACACACACCATGAGGACTCCTAATGAATGGACTTTCATGATACTAGCTCAGTGACTCTGCCTACGCTTTTCTGCTCTATTCCAGTCCTTAAAACAGCACTGGTATATAAAAGATGCTCAGTAGGTATTTGCTCAGTATGGATAACTCTAATCACAAATTACTACTACATAAAATACAAGCCAGTGCCGTTTAAGGGGGCCTTGCTAAGGTGTCTAGCAACTGCAACCCTATTAATCACAAACCCACTGTTAAAACTGCCATCACACAATTCAAAGTTATGAAACTTAATCAGTTTGTAAAACAAACTGAACTGCAGAAAATGTGAACTATTTGGCAAATGTAAAATGTTACAATTAAAAGTAACATATAAAGCTCCTCTACAAGTTAATTTGGTGCAAGAGTTGTCAGTGGCAAAATTCTTACAGCTGGCATTTTATATGTGCTGGACACTGTATGAAGAAAAGGATGCAGTTATTTTGGTTTACAGACAAACTCTCCAACTTTCCTCACAGCACATCTTCACAGGTATTGGGCTGACACTTGAAAGATCTTCCTATTCTACAGACACCTGCAAAGTACTGAGGGCTGATAGCAAAATCTGAGCTTACCCATACTCATCAGCCCCTTGGCATTACTGAAAACTAAGAAACAAAAAAAGAACAGCAATCCAAACGTTAGTCTACAATACCTGAAACCAAAGCCTACAAGGGCCAGGGGTCTTAATGTAAGAACCTACAAGGCCTAAAAAATACTCAAAAGTCGTTTTTAATTCACTCTACATTAAGTATATACCAACATACTGGCTTTTTTTTTTTTTTTTTTTTTTGGCAAATACTATTATTGTGCAACAAACAAAGCTTAACCACGTAAAAATGTTATTCCAATCTCACCGGATTAAATTATTCCCGCAAAAACTTTTTAACGCAGATCCTAATATTTAAAGCCCTACTTAACTTTACAGTAAGCAATTTCAGGTTCATAAAGGCCTGAGAATGCACTAAGCCACTCACTCGGTTACACCAGAACACTACATAGATTTATGTGACCTGCAACTGGTTGTTGACCAAAACTTTCTTTTTTAATTTTGGAAATTATGATTGAAAGATCAGGAAAAAGGCAAGACTATCACAAAAATAATTATTTTCCTTATCTTCAAGTTCTATTACCACCAACTTCTACTTACAGATATTTCGGATATTAGAATAAACTTTACGACAGCTCTTTTGCCCATCCCAGTGCTAATCACATGAAACATTTGCAATCCTTATCTAACTCTGACATCACCACCTGATTCGGATTCCTCTTCAATACAAGTCCCTACACTGCAGTCCATTAATAAATCAGCAGCAAGGAAACCTCTTCTCCATAAACAGGCTTCCAAATCATTAAGACAAATTAAACCACTCCTAGGTAGCTGTGCTGGAAAGGCAAAGGGCGGTTCTCAGAAACCTGTTAAGACCCTAAAGCAACAAGTCCAAGACTCCCAACTCTTACAGATTTTCCCCGCCGCAGCCCTGGCTGCTGGCAGGGTCCCTCGGACGCCCCTCCCGCTAGAAGACCTCTGGGTCCCGGGGGAGCAGCGGGGCGGCTCCAAGGCGCCTCGCCCCACTCACTGCCTCTGGGGGACCCGGGGGTCGGACTCACCTGAGCACTGGACTGTAGGGGCTGCGCGAGCGCCGCCAGCTGCTGCTGCTGTACGGGCTGGGGGAGACATCTCCGCCCCGCTCGTAGGAGCTGTGGCGGCTGTAACTGGGGGAGCGGCGCCGGCTGTAGGGGCTCGGGGAGCGCTGCAGCCGCCGGGAGTAGGGGCTGCTGCCACCTCCCGCCGGGCTCGGCGACTTGCGGCTGCGGAGGCTCTGCGAGGCCCTGTGGGACACCGGGCTGTCGTCCCGGCCTCCCAGCGGGCTCAGGGACCGCTGCCGCCGCCTGTAGGCCTTGGGCTCGCTCTTGTCCTCCCGGTAGGCCTTGGGCGTCTCCTTGTAGGCCGAAGGCGTCTCCTTGGACGACTTAGTCCGGCTGCGATGGGCCTTGAGGTCTCGCTCCTTGCGGCTGCTGCTGCTGCTGGACGTGGCCGAGGCGCTCTTGCGGCGCCCGCCGCTGCTGCTGCTACTGCCACTCTTGGCGGCGTCCGGCCGCTCCTCGCCGCTGTGGCCGTGCCGCCCTCGGGCCTTGGAGGCCTCGCTGCCGCTGCGCTGGCCGTCGCGCCGCCGGTGCTCGCGGTGGCGCTCCTTGCTGCGGCCGCTGCTGCTGCGACGGTCCCGGCGCGGCCTGCGCTCCGACCCCTCCGCGCGCCGCTGCGTGCCGGAGGAGGAGGCCGGACTCGCGCCGTTGCCCCCCGTTCCCCCGGCAGCCGTCGCCGCCGTTGCCGCGCTGGCGCCCCCCAGCAGCAGCCCCTGCTCGGACTGGGAGCTCACATCCTCGTACTCCACCAGCGGGGTCACACCCCCGCCGCTACTGGCACCGCCACCGCCGTCCTGCTGCGGCTGGGGCAACGAGAAGACCCGGCGCTTCTCCGCCTCCTGCCCGGCGCGGGGTCCGCGGCGCCGCTTCTGCCGCCCTCCCGGGCGCCTCTTGCCTCTCGCCAGCCGCTTGACCTCCAAAGGGGGGCCCGGGCTGAAGCAGGAGGAGGAGGCCGCGGCGGCGGCGGCTGCGGCGGCGGCCGCGCCGGGGGCAGCCAGGAAGAGCAGAGGCGGCGGGGGCGGCGGCGGTTGCAGGAGCTGCGGCTGCAGGAGCGGCAAGAGCAGCGGCGGCTGCTGAGGGGACAGGAATCGCCTCCGCTTGCGGCGCTCCTCCAACTTCTTCTCGGCCCAACTCAGGCCCCCGCCTCCCCCCAGCGCCGTGTCCGAGCTGCTCGGCATCGCCTAGAGCCCGCCGCAGAGCGCGGCGCGGGTGCGGCCTCCTCCGGGTCAGACCCTGGCCATGTCCCCCGCCGGGAAGGGGGACGGCGGCGGCCGCGGCAGAGGGGTAGCAAGCAGCAGGGCCGGCCGAGAAACGCGCCACGATAATCCGGGTCGGGACGCGGGTCCCTGGTTCCAGGTCGCAGCGGATGCGCAGCGGCCTCCGGGCCTGACACAGCGAGGATCGGGCGGCGGCGCTTCTGCCGCGTTGGTCGTCCTATGGTCGGGTTCGAAGTCGCGGGCGCCGGGCGCCGACCTGCGGGGAAGTGGGAGTCCTCCAAGTGCCCCCGGTGGCGGGAGAGCGGCGGCCGCCTCGGTCCGGCGGCGCAACGCGGAAGTGCCACCTTCGCCGCGCTTCACTCCATCGCCCTGACGTCGGGGTCGAGATCGAGGGAGGGGAGTGGGCGCGACAGCAGCACGCCTCGGCCGCCCGCGGCTCCGCGTCGACGTCGTCCTGCGCTGGCGGCGACACCCC